CAGGGCCTGAACCCACGAACCATGAGACCATGACCTGAGCTGAAGTCAGATGCTTAACCACCTAAGCCACCCAGGTGCCCCATGGATGCTTTCTTTTTATACACTTGTTCCTTTCCTGCTTCTCAGAAGCCTGGCTTTTCCTGCTTTTCTACTTACCACATAACTGTTGTGTAGGTGGCCATGAATTTCCATAGCACAAGGTCAGCCTTGATCCTCTGTGACCAGAGCTATGTATCCAAAAGCATCTGAGTTTTTTTTTCTTTAATTTTGCATTTTTTAATGTTTATTATTTTTGAGAGAGATAAAGAGTGTGAGCAACGGAGGGGCAGAGAGAGAGGGGAACACAGAATCTGAAGCAGGCTCCAGGCTCTGAGCTGTCAGCACAGAGCCTGACGTTGGACTCGAACACATGAACCATGAGATCATGACCTGAGTTAAAGTCGATGCTTAACCAACTTAACCACCAAGACACCCCTTTCTTAAAGGACAGTGGATATAATTGGCTTAGCCTGGTTTCCAGATTGGGTCTTTCCATGCCAGAGTTCTGTGTCCCCACCACTTTGCTATGGCTAGAGAGAGTAAGATCTTGAGATAGGAGACACAGCCATTCAGGCAGGGGCTGAGCTTGAGCTGAAATGTCTAAAAAGAGAAGATAGACAGGGTATCTATTATACATTAGACACTGATTCAGAGGAAAATGGGCTAAATTCAATAAAAAAGAGGTGTGAGCATGTGCTGTATGTGTTTGTGCTTTTCTGAATGAGGTTTACTGCATTGTTCAGGAGAGAACTCTTAACTACAGTGTGCCATGTTCCCTTTTTTCTGAATTGTCAGCTTCAAATATGGATAATTGAAAACATCATTTGAAGGATTAGCATGGAGAGGATAAAATCGAGCTGTTTATGGTCCTGACCTCCAGGTTATACTTATTTATTACTCCCCTTTGGCAACTTCAATGGAAATGTTTAAGAAGTACTGTATGCATATTTATATACTGCCTTTTCTTAAAAAAACTTTAAGATGGAAACAAACTTTGTTTTTCACAATCACATTAGTAAATTTGTGAAATTGACTCATTTTCTCTTTGAGGCACTCTTGTTACTCATTCAGCATTCATTCATTCAGCCATTCTTTAAATATGTGTTGAGTAACTATTATCTGCCAATAATGACAAGACTATCTTTTGGCTCTGCCATTATGGAGCTTACGAGAGGGGAGGGAGACTTAAAATAACCATGTTAACATAGAAACAAATTATACTTGATTGAGGTAAGATTTATGAAGGAAACATGTGTGCTAGGTTGAGATATAGAGAGGAGGGAGGTACAATATCAGAGAGGACTGGCCTGAGAAGGTCTAAGAAGATGATTTGTGAGCTAGACTTGAACAGTGGGGAGGATATAGCCCTGGTAAAACCCCAGGAGGAGCTTCCAAGGCAGATGGAGCAGCATGAGTTCAGGCCTGGTACAGGGAAGAGCATGGTGTGTCTGAGGAACTGAAAGATGGGTAGTATAATGGGAGATGGATGAGAGATTTTGGTGGGTTATGAGGAAAAGAGATGGAACTTATGAACAGTGAGTTTAGGATTTATTCCAAGTATAATGGGAAGTTATTGAAAGGTTTCAAATGAGAGAATGGTTTCATTTGGTTTATATTTTTGAAGGATCACTCTGGTGAACTGTAAGAAAGGACTGGACAGGAGCAATCGGGATGCAGGAGGTTCAGTTGGGAGGGGTTCATGCAGAGCAGTGATGGTAACAAAAGGTAGACATCTCACAGAGTGGGAAACTGAACTTATCTGAGAACAGGCTTTGCCTTCTGGATGGTGATATCAATCAGTCCAGTTGTATACTTTTCTCCAGCAAAGGACATTCTGCTCAGATGCAGGTATAGAGGTTCTGGATAGTAGAATTCATTCTGCAAGTGTAGGATTTGGTGTGGATGAATAGGGAATGCGGGTCCATACAATAGAGTGATTAGGAGGAAAGTCTAAGCAGGAGTAAGCTGATTGGTGTGAGACTGTACCAAGATCAACAGGACTGAGGAATCCTGCAACGTGAGGGTTTGAGCAAGTGGGCTGAGAAGGATAGGATGTCATGGCCAGTAAGGGGTGTATCTGAATAAAGACGGTAGCGATGATGCAGTTTCTGGTGATGAGAGGCCAGGGCTGACTGTGCGATGGAGCAGCCACATGGGTGGAGAGAGGGCTCATTGTAGACAAGGAAGTGCAGCACTTGAGAGACCGGTGTTCAAGTCACTCAAGTTGTTTGTGAAAAGGAGATGTGTGAGGAGAGAGAAAGCTTCAGTGACAGAGGGAAGTGATCAGATGCCTGCAGCAAGAGTGAGGTAGAGGAGAGTCAGATAACTGGATGGGATGTCTGAAAGGAAGAGAGGATCTTGCAGGATGGAGAGAAAGCCAGGCATGTGATCTGGAAGCAGCAGCGGGGAAGGTGAGGACATAGCCCGTCTCTTCTAACCCTGAGAGGGATGATAGGGAGGCCGTGTCTGTGGGAGCAACCAAGTCAGGCCAGGAGATAAAGGGAACAGAGAATAGCCGTTGGACCGTGGGGATATTGGTTGATCATAGATTGGCTGTCCCAGAGGGCATGGAGGGCGTGAGGGGGCGGATGGGGGATTTTGAACCCAGGGAAAATACAGGGCAGTAAAGGAGAGGAGAGGCAGGTGATAATAGAGGCTCTTGGAGCTTGTGCTTCTGGGAAGGATTAAGGTAAACAGAGCGCAAGCCCTGAAAGACTGATGCAGATGCTCTCCTTGGGAAGGTTTGGTGTTGGGCCTGCCTCTGAGATCCAGGATTCCTTTCCTGGCAGTGCAGTGGGTTCCAGGGCGCTGCTTGCGAAGCTCGGGTTGCAGAGTGGGGGCACATGCAAGTGAGGGCAATGAAGACCAGCAAGCTTGTTCTTGACTGGAATGAATCCTTAGGACAGTGCTGCTAAGTAGATTTATTATTCCCATTTACAAAAGCTGACACTACAGCTCAGACAAGTTAAAAGACTTGACGAACATTAGACAATAAGGATGGAGACAAATTTTTTTTGTTTTTGTTTTTTTTTGAGAGAGAGTGGACACGAGCAGGGGAGGGACAGGGGGAGAGGGAGAAAGAGTCCCAACCAGGCTCTGCACTGTCAGCACAGAGCCAAAGTGGGGGCATGAACCCACATACTGTGAGATCATAACTTGAGCCTAAGTCAAGAGTTGGACGGTTAACTGACTATGCCACCCAAGCATCCCTACAGAGAAGATTTTATACCCAGGTCTTTCCAAACCCCCAGTGGGAGTTTTTTCCCATTATCGTACCATCATGGGTGCTGGAGTAGGAACCAGGAGGTAAAAGAATCAGAGAGACACAGGGACTTCCTTTGAGTCTGGCTGGGACAGATTCCTTCATTGTTTGGCTCTCAGTCCCATGAGATTTTGAGCTTCTTGAAGGTGGAGACTGTTCCATTTGTATCTCTAGCTGTTAACACAGTGCCTGACACATAGTATGTGCTTGATAATATTTAATGAATGAGCAAACTAATGAATTACTTTATGTCATTCTTTTCTTTTTCCCTTCCTCCTTTCCTTTTTTTCTTCTTTGGTAGTCAGTTAACTCCTGAGCTTCGTTATGGGTCCACGGCCATAATTTCCCAGACTTTGTCTCAAAGTTTTGGATCAAACTGTTTAATGTAGCAAGGACATTCCTTAACACCAGAAAAGCTATGCTTTTACTCTTTGAGTATTAGAATGTTTATTGCTGAGCCTAAATGTGCTGTGCTGTGTGTGTGTGTGTTTGTACACACAGTTTCATTTGTATAAATTATGAATGAATGCATGGTCTGTATTTATCACTTTATCCTAAGACTCCAGAACAGATGAATTGGTATTAACAGACAATTTTCTTTAAGAATTATCAATATAGATATGCATCAGTCTTGTGTGCTTTGCTCGAACACCCCTCCTATGTGCATTTTTTTGGGGGGGCAGCACTGAATACTCTTTCACATTTGCGTGCACATCTTCTTATATCCTTAAGGTGGCAGGCAACAATCAAAACATTATTTAAAGAGAATTAACTGAAAGGGTGAGGAAAAAGGAAAAGAAAAAACTAATTCTTCCTGGAATGTCGTATAATACCCCATTTTCTGCTCAGCAGAATTATATTCATAGCTGGATTATTCATTATTAAGAGCTTATTTCAGCCCAGACCGTGTGTGTCAGTAGATTAGGATGTGGAGGAAGATTAGTTTCTCACAGTGGGTGGCTGGAAATAAGTTCCTTATCTGATCATTAAAATTGGTTGTTCATGGTTTTTTGATCATAATTATTAATTCTGTCGGGGGGTTTTGCATGGCGATTAAATCTTGGTCCCGATATGTGCTATTAGGATTCAGCTGCATGCTACCAGTGTCGCATTATCAAGGCAGAGATGAGTTTTGTGTGGGTATGTTGGTCTTAAAAAATTTTCAAGTCTTTGCAGTGCCCAGTAATTATTTTAGAAAGTACTTAATGACTTTGAGACTTTTGTAGGAGAGTACTGCTATTAATATATACAATGTCAGCAGCTACTAGTAATTGTCTACCATGTGCCTGACACAATCTCAGGCAATTTTACCTCCATTGCCTGTTTTTCTTTTAAATTTTCTTTTTATGTTTATAGTAGTTTTAGATTCTCAGCATCACTGAGCAGAACATAGAGAGAGTTCCTCCATACATACCCCCCATCCTCAAACGTGGGCAGCCTGCCCTGCTCTCTGTCCACATCCTGCACTGCAGCGGAAATATTTGTTACAATTGACAAGCCTTCATGTTTGGGCAATTATGAATAAAGATGCTGTAAACACTCATGCACAGGTTTTTGTGTGGACATTGTTTTCAGTTCCTTTGGGTAAATACAACAGAGTGCGGTTACTGGATTGCATGGCAAGAGTACGTCTGTTTTAAGAATAAATCACCAAACTGTCTTCTAAAATGACTGTACTGTTTTGCATTCCCACCAGCAGTGAATGAATCCCTGTGGCTCGACATCGTTTGCAGCATTTGGCATAATCAGTGCTCTGGATTTTGGCCATCCTAATAGGTAGGTACCTGTATCTCATTGTTGTAATTTGCATTTCCCTAATAACATATGACATAGAGCATCTTTACACATGCTAATATTCCATCCATATATTTTCTTTGGTGAGGTGTCTGTTCATGTCTTTTGAACCCATTTTTTACTGTAGTTGTTTGCTTGTTTTTAACTGTGTTTTAAGAGTTCTTTGCATATTCTGGATAACAGTCCTTTATCAGGTATATCTTCTGCAAATAAGTTCTCCCAGCCTGGCTTATATTCTCATTCTCTGAACACTGTCTTTCACAGAGTAGAAATTTTTAAAAATGTGTGCCTGGTTTGAGAGAGAGAGAGAGAGAGAGAGAGAGAGAGATATGCATGTGCATGTACAAGCAAGGGAGGAACAGAGAGAAAGAGAAAGAGAATCCCAAGCAGGCACTGTGCTGTCAGCATGGAGCCCAATGTGGGGCTTGATCCTATGGATCATGAAATCATGACCTGAGCTGAAATCAAGAGTTGGACACTTAAGTGACTGAGCCACCCAGGCACCCCACAGAGCAGAAGTTTTTAAATGTAGTGAAATCCAGCTTATCAATTATTTCTTCTATGGATCATGCCTTTGGTATTATATCTAAAAAGTCACTGTCATATCCAAAGCCATCAGTGATTTCTCCCTTATTATCACCTATGAGTTTTATAATTTTGCATTTTAAATTTAGGTCTGTGATCCATTTTGAGTTAATTTTTATGACGAGTATAATGTGTGTGTGTCTTGGTTCTTTTTATTTTTATTTTTTCATGGGGATGACCAGTTGTTCCAACATCATTTTCTGAATCAATTGTTTACTTTCATCTTCTCTTAAACCCATGCCAGAGTTATCACCATTACCTCCATGTTAAAGACAAAGGAAGCAAAAAGCAGAATAAAATAACTTCTTGAGGTTTACAGAGCTAATAAATAGTAAAGTTAGGGTGGGAACCTAGGTATTTCTCATTGAAAACCCCTCCTCGGCTGCTCTTCTAATAAAATGGACTTGTTTTGTGTGAGCCTAGCCAGGAAGTAGGGTTCTTAAATTAATATATTGCCACAGTTGATCAAAATGAACCCATTGATTTTTAAACATAGGGGACAAGGTGCTTAATTGTTCTGGCAAATAAAACCTAAAGAGAAAAATAAAATTTTGAAAATGTGTTAGGTGATTTTCTCTCATTATCCAGTTATAACAAATATTTGGGTATGAAGCAATATGTTAGGTGTTGTGGATACAACATTGAATAAGACACAATCTGACTTCCAATAGGAAATTAAAATGTTATCATGGTAGTAGATTGACTACAAAGGAAGAAATGATTTATTTAGCTTTCTAGAGGTAGAGGACCCTTGAAAAAAGCTATGGAACTGTTCACAGTTTCTCTTTCAAGAGTAGTTATAATGTCTTCCCTCAGTTACCACTCCACCTTCATGCAGTATAAAAACCTTAAGGATAGCTTTTTGGTAAGATGACAAAAGTTGGTGAGGTAGAGTGGGAAGTCTTATTCAGTTGGCCCCACTTTGCTGAAGAATGGCTATGGATAAAACCTCAATTGCGTGAAACACAGAAAACCTGGGATAGGGGGTGGGTGGACAGTGATGGTGGGAAGTGGTGGCGTGATGGTTGGTTATCATAAAATTGTATCAGGTGGACATTTAGACTCCACAGTGAAGCATCTCCCTAATCATGAGAATTGAAATTTGAGGTCAGTGCATGCTTTCATTCATTCAATCATGACTTACTGATTACCAATTTTATTCTAGTTCTGTAGTTTGCTGTGAAATTTGGGTTATCTGAATGCCTACCTATTAGGAAAATAAGTGTTTCAAGAGACCCAGTTTGAACCTGTAGGGTAGTATCTTGTGGACTCGGTCGTAGGTAAAGATAGATGTGAGGGGGAATAGGATGCCTGGTAGATCACTACGTACTCCAGTCACGGCACAGAAATGCTATCAACTCTGGGGCAAAGATGATTCTTTATTTAGGGAATTTAAATGTACTTATTAGCACAGGACCAACATAGAGGATAAGAAGAACTGAGTGATTAGGGCGGAGATGGAGGTTTTGATCTTCTGTAACCAGAAAGGGGAGGAGGCCCAGTGGTTCCTTTGTTCATGTACTCATTCATTTGCTTATTGAACCATTCCATAACACTTTCTATATGCAGACACTATAGATAATAACCCACTTATCCTAATAAGAATCTCATGAGGTATGATTTATTATTAAACCTGATTTACAGGTAAGAAAACGGGGCCACAGTGATACTGAGCAACGTGTCCAAAGCCGTATAGCTTCATTCCCTCACAAAGCCTTTTTATCTTCTTTTATTCCTGAGAGCCAAATTTATACTAAAATAGGAAGTGATTACCGCATTCTAGTTTTATGCAGACAACTGGTTTTTGAATCAGCATTCCCAGGAAAAGGTAGACTTCCTGTACCTACTTATCTTCTTTCCAGCCCAAGGTTGGGATGGACCAGTTAACACCTTTTTACCTTGATGGTATCAGCAGATACTGAGAGAAAACAGGCTTCTTGTATTGTCAGAGGTCCCAAAGCTGGAACAGAATATCACCAAACTCACACTGATAGAAGTGTCTGGTCTGTTGGGTCACTAGATGCCTTTCACAGCTAAAATCATACCATGTGCCCTGCACAGCCCTGAGCCATACACCTGCAGACCTTGCAATAACTCACATAACCCCATGCAAGCATTGTCTCACAACAAGGCTCCAGACACGGATATGGAAAATGTCCAATAAAGATATTAAGAGGGAACGGCTCAGAGAAAGCACAGCTAATCACCGCCCTGCTGGGTGAGAGCAGGAGGCCAGCAGGGGCCCAGGCCTTTTCTTCTATTTTTAAATTAGGAGTCTGAGCAGTAAACCCCATGTCTCATTCAATTCACTGCACTGGTCTACAGAGAAGCACGTGACATGGCCCACAGTGGCAGCTGAATGAATTGTTCAGGCTGATTGTCCCTTCCTCTGTCTGTCTCTGCCATCCGGGTAGAGATGGTTTAAAAATATGCTGTCATTAAGGGCATTTCAGCTGCTGGCTGCAGTGGTTGCCATAATTGTGAGCTTCCTGAGTCTCTAGGGCTTCCTGAGTCTCTGACTGCTGCTTTTCTGCTCGTCGACACACATGGCCCACAGGAGTTTTGAATGAAATGTCCTGTCTAAGTTGTTGATAACTGTTAGCCAGCTCTAGGAGGTAATTGAAATGATCCTATATTTGCATTGGAGATTTTGTATTTATGCAAAAGATTGCTGAATTGCATATCATTGAGGATATATATTTTGAGAAGAGCTTTTCCAGCTGGCTTTGTGGCTCTTGTGTTTTGTTTCCAGTAAAGGATGAAGCAACATTGGAATAAAATAGGTTTTAAAACATTTTAGTTATATAGTGGCACTTTTCTTGCCCTGGTCAGTTATAATTTTTCAACTTGATCTTCCTGTCAATTGGTATTTGGGTTTTTATATGTAGCAAGGCCCTCTGTAGCTTTTTGAGGTCTTAGCAACCCTTAAGTCTAGAGGCCAACAAATGGTTGAGAAAGTATCTGACACTTCACTTGGAACCAAAGAGTTATGTCATTTGTACCAAACCTAGTTGATGTTCTTCTCTATGTCTGCTCAGCCCTACCTGGCCCTTGGATATCATTATTAGATGGCTATCCCTGGCCAACACTGCTCTTGTTTCCTCATCTCCTAACACCATTAACTGTCTTACTGGTGAAAACCATGCTTTGGCACAGTCTTTCCCATGGCAGGGATCACATCACCTTGGTGCCTTGGAGGAACTGACCACACCCATAAAAGGTATGGTACCTTCTACCACTTTTGGTCTCAGACCAACTGAAACCACTGAAACACCAAACACGGGGGCATGAGAACTGGATTGCCCAAAGGCTGTCTAGAGGGGCCAGTTCATATAACCAGAAAATATGGGACAAACTTTGTCCAGTGAGAGACAGGAGACAGAAACACGCTGGTAGGTAACTTATGTAACCTTTATCCCTCCTCAGGTGTTCCCATGCATGCTGGCTCCATACAGCTTCTCTAGGGATAGCTTACATGGCTGAAAAGTGGGGTATGGCCTCCTTATGAAGGCCAGTCAGCAAGGTGCCACCTTGTAAATGATTTTCTACTTCTATCCCTCACGTCCCTTTTCCTTCAGTCTTGCTGCTCTGGAATTGCTTCTCCTGATAGAGCACTCGATGTATCACGGGGCTGGAGAACCTGACAATGACAACATGGTTCAAGAGAGATTTGCTTCTCAGACGATCAATTAGAATGATGGTAAAATGAATGATAAAGGAGAATAAAGGGAATAGCTTAGGGTGAATAAGAAGCATGCAAAAAAGTGTGCAGAAGAAGGTGGTTGGTTCCTTCTGAAAAACAAGTGTTAGGGTGGATCCAGAGAACAAACCTTTGCCACAATTTTTTAGAGCAAAAGAAGGGAATGGTTTATTCCAGTGGGTGAAATTAACATTTCCTGATGCAACAAAAATAAATAAATTCAAATAAAGTTGAATAACCAATTTTTATGTAAAAAGTAATTTCTGATATAACAGACAAACCCCAAATATCTTTGACTTGACGTAATGTAGATGTTTTTGTACTCAGAATCTTATATGGTTCTGGCGGTTCTTTTCCATTTTGTAGTATGCAGTGTGAAATACTTGGCCTCCAAGATTTTGGGAGCTGGGGAAGGAAGATGGATCCAGAGCTGGAGGTAAAACAAGAGTGGGAAAGAGGAAGAGAAAGAGAACTAGTGAGCATGAAATAAGAAACATCATCTCTTTACTTCCCTTGCCCGAAAGTAACACACATGCTTTTCCTCGTAGGGCAGAACTAATCATCTTGCCATAGACTAACTGCTAGAAAGGCTGGGAAATGTAGGGGAAATATAGGGTTTTTTGCTGTGCACACATTGTCCCATGACAAGTTTCATCAAGAGAAACTAACAGAAGGGATGAAATCAGACAGGGCAGGA